ATACTACGAGCCCTCAAGCCATAATTTTCTGGTGGGTAAGTTGCCGAGTTTTAAAATTATTTCGGGTGCCTGGATAAAAACTTGAAAAGTTATAGCTCACAGAATCACAAAATTCATAGGCTTAAGCTACTCAGGGTTAGAGGAAAAATGTGAGAAAAAATGATGAAAAACATGAAAGGAATTATTAAAATAGGTAAGAAATGTTTCGGTCCATTAAGTCGTATACATTTCTTACCTTTACCACAATTAGACCTCGTCAGTACGACGATTGCGATAAAAAATTTTTAAAAGATGTTGTGTGGTAAATGTGCGAGGAATAGTTAATTAGGATTTTCATACCTACGCCAAATGGAAACGTGTATGTTACCTTACCTATAAATGAATCAGCGTTTTAGGTGCTGGAATATACATGTTATAAGGTACTGGAATTTCCACCTGAGATTAAAGATTAGTATGCAAACGGTTTGAATATTAATTTTAGAAATATCGCTTACAAACGGTTGTGGCAATTTTTCAAAAATGAAGCTTCCCAGCAGTTTACATAGTTATCCGAAATAGCGAAAAGAGAAACGTAAATTTAGAGGCAAAAATGCAGAGAGAGAGAAAAAAAATGCGTACTTCGGAAGATTGATCGCCATAGGGAATATTGAGCGTATCCATGGCACGAATCATGGCCTGAATTGCCATGAAAATGTTCTGATAGACGAGGCGGATGTGAGCACGTTTATCCTCATCGGAATAACCATTCCCATGAATGATGCGCATCTGCTTGATAAACGTCGACTTGCCCGACTCACCAGTACCTGCAGCGAGAACAGCAGCTAAGCCAAAGCCAAAACCAGAATCGTAATGAAGTTAAGCTTTAAAAAATTTAAAAAGCCAAAGCCTCGTCTGTGAAACGAAACACATCTAACTTCCATCACATTCGAGTTTCTTATGTTTCTTTCCTTCCTTTTGCAACAGCCTACTTGAATTGCACGTATCTGGACTTAGATTGTGCTGTGCAGCGTTATAGCACTACTACAGTGAT